TTCCTCCTCAAAAAGCGCCATCCACCACCACCCCACCACGAACATCTGGAGGAAAGCTCGTCTTCATTATAAGGGGTTCCAGAGAAACAGAGAATCAGAGCTAGCAGATGATGAGAGGGTCCTGACAACATAATTAGAACTTCTATCTCATTTATTTAAACCCATCCCACCCCTATTCTTCCCAATTAGACTGGCCAATAAATTTCATTGCTCAAGCTAGTCTTAGTGGTGTTCGTCCTAACATCTGTTTTTTAAATAATGTAATTTGGGAGTACTAGGAATTATCTTACTACAAGTGCATGCCATGGACTACATATCACCAACCTGCACTGAGGAAAACATGTTTATTTTTATTTATCCTTCATTTTATCCAGGTAATGAGCAGCCAGTTATTCTGATGCTTGCATACTGACAAGGTCTATTAGCTTCCTAAAGATTCCTTGAACTTTCTTCCTTTAAAGAAATCACTTAGAATAACTGATTACAATCAAAATACTCTGTGGCTGATTTTAAATAGGTAATGTACATATATGCCACTAAAAAAACCCCTGGTTGCTCTATATTGTTATTTAGCCTAGAATAAATAAAAACAAGTAAAAATTTTAAAAATAAGTGAATAGAATTGGGCAAAGTTTCCACTGGTTTTAAGGTGCTTTAAGTAAAGAATGCCAGTGGAGATACTTATGGGTCACTCTTCAGCCAAATCTGGTACCAACATAGCTGAGAAGAAACAATGTCTCTAAAAGTTTGTATAGTGAATTAAGTTTAAATTCTCAACTCCCTTTGTAAGTTATAAAGTAACCCAACTCCAGGAAAAAAAAGAATCCACTACTTTATTCACTAATGGCCAATATTTGCACAAAACAAGAGAATGGTCACATTTGGGGAAGCAGTATAAAAGCACACTGGCGTGGGAGTTGGGAGTAGGGTTAGAGCATGTGCGTATTAGCCGGCATGAGATCCTGGGTTCAATCCCAGTACCTCCATTAAAAAGAAAGCATGGGGCGAGAGCCTCCAAAGATAGTGGTTCTATTTTTTTAAGCTTGGTAGTAGATACCTAAGTGTTTATTGTTCTTTAAAATTATTCATTACATTACAT